CACTTAACCATCGGTCCTCAAAACTCTGATTTGGTGCCGATCCTGTCTGTTCTGGAGGGTGGCTACTTTTGTTCCCCATGGTCCCTGTGTGTTGCAAAGTAGCCAACACTCCCGTGATGAACTACAATCTCAATACACATGAGCAGGCTTAAGAGTGGTGGCTACTTTACAACACGACTATAGGGAACAAAAGTAGCCACCCTCCAGAAGTACAGTGCTGGCACCAATTCAGAGATTTGAGGATCTACAGCCGAGTGATACATTGTTATAGCTCAGGTACTTGAATCCATGTTTAATATTCTCATGAGTTTAGTATCATGTTAAGGTCTCCTAGAAATGTTGATCAATGTAACCCATTGCAGATGGTAGGTACATGGCCCAGTCTTTTAAAGAAAAGTATATTTTAGAAACTACATCCTAGATATCCTTCTGCTAAGCCATGGTGTAGAAGACACAGGTTTCATGCCATTATCTTCGGATTGCTTGGACAGTTCCTGAAGGGAACAAAAAAAAAAAAAAGTTAAATGTTACATTCAAGGACACAGTTTTGGGCAAGGGGCAAAGCATGCAATGAGTTAGTTTTAATATTGCATATCCATAAGGAAGCATCATTAAAAGCAAATTTGATACAGCCATACTAAAGCAAACTAAAGGAAACAGAGCCTCAGGTTAACAGACAGGAAAATGTTCTATATGGCATTATACTGTAGGTCTGCATAATGTATTGCAATCACCTGGGTCTTTTGCAAACCTGTAACCTTTATTGCTATAGGAGCAAAAATCTTGGGAAGCTTTTATTGTGCAAACCACTCCCATACTCAAGTATAAATGGATGGCCTCACCCTGCAACAGTAAGGTATGTATGGTGGGGGGCACGCATGTAGAGTGGCAACTTTCTAGTTAGAGTGGAAGAAAATAAAAGCCAACTGGCTGGCTTTATAAATGAGAGTAAGGCATCTGCCAAAAGTTTACCATTCAGCAAATGTTTTTCTGTACATTGGGCCATGCATGAATAAAAAAAAAGTTACTGTACCATGAGCATTGAATCCTCATTGTTGCTGCAGACTTCATTTGATGTGCACAAGCTTGAGAAAAAAAGTCAAAATTAGAACAGGTTTGTGGCCTAAACATTGTTCAGTGTATTTGACTCATGAAACCAAAAAGGCCTTTTCAAAATTCAGGCATATCCAGAATATCCTGGATGGGTCGTGTATACACAGAAATAATGCACGTCTCTTCTGCCAAAAAATGTCCAGCAATTTTACCGACTGCTTCCATTTTATGTAGAAAAAAAAAAAAGTGACTTTACACTTAATTTTTTTGCATTTGTACCCAGTTTATAAAATTCTATAAGAAAAAAAACAAAAAAACACAAAACCCCAAAACAATGAATATATCCAATCTTTTTCTACATACGAATTCTTCCATTGTATAGTAAAGGATGTAGCAGAAGTGCATCCATTGCCTACATACTGTAGTCTAAAAGTGTCCCCTTTTCTCATGTCAGAAAGTTGGAAGTAATGCTTAAGTCATAGCTCTACAACAACCTTTGTAAGGCTTTGACTTTTACAGTTTGTATTTGAATAAAGACAAGTTCTGTGAAATGTGCAACCATGTTCTATAAGCCATTACTATACTCACTTATTTTCATGCACAAAGCAGCTCGTTTCATTCTTTGCATCATGGAGATCATAACTGTCCCAGAAGATACTCGGTGTGTTGTCCATTTCTTGAATGTAATTTAGTAAATCATCAAATGAGATTTCTGCATCACAATGCTCCGGGGTGTTTGTAGTTTCATTTTCAAAGTTATCTGTTTGAACAGCGGAGTCACTGAAGAGTACTGACTTTTCTAACTCAGTTTCGTTCAGCACTGTGATGGCACGTGTAATGACATCCGCAGGAATCAAAAAATAGAATTTTTTGTGTGCAGACTCTTTATTTCCTCCTCCAGTCTCAGCTGCTGTTGTGGAATCTATACATGTGTCCAAAGTGGCCTGCAATTCTGGTTCTTTGAGTTCAATGGTTGGCAAGTACTGTGCAGTAGTTTCTTCAGTGACCCTGAAGTTCAAAAGGGGAAAAAAAAAAAAGTTACAGGATCAAGACACTCAATGCATACTAAACATCTTTAGAGACTACACAGAAGGAAAGTGGCAAGAATGTGCCAGCATGGTGCCAAGTGGGACCCTTGCTCTTTGCAGAGAACCAACACCCCGTGCTGTGTCAGAGCTAGAGGTCTGCATTTACTGGGAATACAAGCTTTGAACTGATGGGAGAGTTATACTGTAGGTATGACTCAGCAGGGAGCATGTTGGACCTCTGCAACAAAGCCACTGCTTGCAGACAGTGCAAAGGTCCTACTCTGCGTCTGCTGGCATGAGACAGGCCTTTCTACTTGGGCTATGGCTGCTTTAGAAAGAAACAGCTGCAAGACACTGAACACCGATATATTTCAGGGGTATTTAGTAGATTTAAACTGAAGGGTCATTTGGGCTTTACACCCCATTCACTGAGCGACATGCAACATATAGGGCGACTTTTCACACGATGATCGCACGACCTTTCCTATTGGACTGCATGAAAAAAGACGCAAAATCGCGCGACAGCCACGCAAAAAGGGTCCTGCACAAGCAGCGAGTGACATTGAGCTGTAGAGTTGAACAGCTCCATTGAAAGTTATTGGAAGAGCGAGATCTCACGATATCTTGTGGCAATATGCGCGGAAATCCGCACAGTAAATTCGCTCAATGTGAACGGGGACTTACAGCTCTTTCCTTGTTTTTGTCATGCAGCAGACCACCTCCAATTCTGTTTAAAGTGTTCTACCTAGGACCTTGGCCAGGTGCTCTGGGTGTAGCACAACCTCTAGCAGAGCACATTACTCAGGAGACCAGGGATGAAGCAGTGTGGGACCTCTGCAGCTCCCACTTACCCCAAGCACCAGTGTAAGGCACATTTATACCATGCTCTAGTTGTCGAGTTTATGTTGTACAATACACAATACTGACCTCTTCCCTTTTTACACCATGTACTGTACATTACAATCAAGGCTGGATTAAGAGCATCATGAGCCTGGTGCTGAGGAGAATTTGGTGAGTTTATAGAAAGGTAATCACCAGGGCCCTCTTCCTCCTGTCTGGGCTGCGATTTGTAGTCTACAGCTTGGAGTCAGTGGAGGAGTGCCAGGGCCTGGCTGCAGCTGTGAGCCTGGTAGATCTGCCACTCAGGGGTGTATCCATCGCAAGACAAAGTTTGCCACCCCCCAAACAAGTGAGGCAACCCGTTCCCCTTCTACAATCCTAGGGGACATCCAGCCTGGATGATCCAGGGGCGTACAGCAGCAGCTGAAGGAGCGCCCAATTGCCGCTGCTTTTACTGCTGACAGGCTGGAGGTGGGGACAGTCTCCAGCTGTCAGGCACCCAAGAGCAAAGCCGTGGAAATTGACAGCCGGTGAACGATGCAAGGACTCCCAGGGACCTGAACAAAGGTAGACCAGCTGCAGCCCAACTGCTGATGTTAAGGGACTGAGCAGAGCAGTGTGGGATGTGGTCCCGTGGAGCACTGGAAGAAGTGCAGTGTGTACTACAGGCAGTCTTGTTTAACAGATCTCCGCACACAGGCTGTGGTATATATAGTCACATAATAGATGCCTATACCTGTGTGACAGTTAAAAAGATCCCTGCAATCTATTATATACACCTGTGTGCAGGTGTTGCCTGTACCACAGGCAGCCATGTCTGCTGGGATTATATTTAGAGATTGTTTACACCTAACCCAGTATGTGCCAGCACAGTTAGTGGCTGGAACGCACACAGCAAGCCTCCCTGCGTTCTGGGGTGGGAGGGAGTGTGGTGGTGCCCTTCAAGTCAACGGCACTGCTGTTAGGTTTGTGGTGCGAGCCCGAGATGACGAGGAGGACCTCCCTTGCAACCCCGTCTGATGACCACTGGGGTTGAGAACAGTAGGGTTCAGGCAGGGGATGCACGAGTGCCAGATGCGGAACTCTAGGTCACGAGGTCTACTTGGTGACCTAGCAGAGTAGCCGCCGTGCTTTAAGGGTAAGGCAGAAGGAAGCGTAAGAGACTAGCCGGGTCAGTAGCGAGCGGGCAATATGGTACAAGGGGTTAAACCAGAGCGAAATCCAGAGACAAGCCGGGTCGGTAACAAGCGAGCAGCAGAGCGCAAGGATAAGGCCAAAGAGAAGTCCAGAAACAAGCCGGGTCGGTAACAAGGAAGCCAAGGGAACAAGAACCACAATGGGCAAGGAACAGGAGCAAGGCAGGGTGAATGACCAGAGAGAGCAAGCACAGCACGAACATCCAGTGCTGGCTGAAGATCACCCAGCACTGAATGAGCGCCCTGCAGCGCCTTATATAGGCTGAGGATGAGCTACTGCGCATGCGCCGGCCCGATTACGTCACCGCGCCGCTCCGACGCGATGACGTAATCCCGCGCGACGACGCAATCTGCCGGGCCTTCTGTCGTCTGCGCCTGCGCAACCGGCCCGTGCTGCTGGATCACCTCTCTGCCTATGTCCCGGCAGAGGGACACGGCATCTCCCACAACCAGGTACCCGACAACTGCAGACATGCCAAACCCACCCACAGCGAGATCGCCTGCACCAGAATGTGTGGTATAGCAATGCCCAGGTTCCAGTACAATTGCAAAAAAAAAAAAAATATGCATGCACTATTTTTTGCAATTGCACTGAACCAGAACCCGGGCATTGCTGAAGCACAGCTCCCCTGAGATTTTTCCCTGGTGACATCAGGCCAGCACCCTAGAGCAGCACAGTAAGTCGCTTCATATTCTGCATTGCTGCACAATGTATTGCCAGAATTTGCAGTCTTCTATAGCCAGGTGGCTTTCAGCAAAACTATATAATGTGTTGCTGGGATTTGTAGTCCTTTATAGCTAGTGGTATTCTGCATTGCTATACGATTTATTGCTGGGATTTGTACTCCCTCTATAGCAAAACATAGGCATTCATATTCCACTTTTAATGTACAGTGTGGAAGAAGCGGAGCTCTAAGAGGAAAAGGTGGAGTTTACAAACAAAGGGGTTGTCTTAAACAAGGGGCAAATTTAGATTAGGGGTTGCCCGAGTTTAGTCTTGCCTAGGGCAGCACAAAACCAAAATACAATACTGTTGACACTGACTCAAACCTCAGCAAAACATTGTACAGCAATGCAGAATACCATCAGCTATAGAGGACTACAAATCCCAGCCATACGTTTAACAGAAACGCAGAATACTATGCTACATACTCTGTTGCTATGGGTTCACGACCTGATGTCTCCAGAGTCTCAGGAGGGCTTTGCAGGTTCTCACTTCAGCAAGTGCCATTAATACCCAATGTTCCGGTCTTCTAAATGCAAGTGTTGCCACAAAATATGTCTATGTGAGGAACAAAGATACACCAGTGTGGACACCTCACAATATAAAGTGCAAATCTCTTGAGTACCTTTGTCATGAGCTGAACTTGTAGGCATTTTATACTGACTGGTGAGAGCCAAAAATAAACCTGCATGTTAGTAGCATGTTTTATGACATTCTACAAGCACATTATACAGACATGTGAATTTTTTATGCAGACATACCTTGTGAATGAAGTGGCATTAGTGATTTCTGGATATTGTGGGGGTGCACCCAGCAGGAAGTGATCAAAGCTTTCCATATCCTCAAAAAAAGGAGACAGGGCAGATTAGGATTATGATTATCCTCCAACAGTTGCGCAGTGCTTTACAGTACAAGGAAGACATTACAATTAAAGACAAGATGGTAAGGAGGGCTTACAATCTAAAAAAGGAGGGGCAAGTGATACATTGAGATAGCAGTGTGCGGATGAATTGTTTGAGAAGTTAGGTTAAGGTGGGATAGGCTTCCCTGAAGAGAAGAGCCTTTAGGGATTACCTAAAGGATGTTCCAGAGGATGGGAGAGACTCTAGAGAAGTCCTGGAGGTGAGCATGGGAGGAGTTGATGAAGGAGCTGGAAAGCTGGAGGTCCTGGGAGGAGCAGAGGGGACCGTTAGGGTGATATTTTCAGACAAGGTTTGAAATATATCTGGGTGCAGAGTTGTGGATGGCTTTGTAAGTGGTGGTTAATATTTAGAATTTTATCCTTTGGGCAAGTGGAAGCCAGTGCAGGGATTGGCAGAGAAGGGTTGCAGACACTGAGCAGTTGGTCAGGTGGATGGTCTAGCAGCTGCATTCATGATAGACTGAAGGGGGGATAGCCTGTTTAGTGGTAGGCCAATGAGGAGGGAGTTGCAATACTCAAGATGCGAGATAAGGGAGTGGATGAGTTGTTTTGCGGATTCATTAGTGAGGAAGGGGCGTATTTTGGAGATGTTATAAAGGTGAAGGCGGCAGGATTTGGAGTGATTGGATGTGGGAAAGAAAGGTGAGGTCCGAGTCAAGGATGACACCTAGCACCTTGGAATGAGGGGAGGGATGCATGGTTGTGTTACCAATCCCAAGGGAAATGTTAGGGGAAGGTGCACAGGCAGGAGAAAATATAATGAGCTCAGTTTTTGAAAGATTGCGTTTTAAGAAGTGTTGACATCCAGACAAATGTCAGTTAGTAGATTATTAACACAAGGACACTGAGGTGAGTTGTGGAGTAGAAAGATATATTTGAGTCATCAGCATAGAGATGGTATTGGAAGCCATGTGAGGTTATTAACTGACCAAGAGAGGTGGTGTAGATAGAAAAAAGAAAAAAATGGTCCCAAGGGCTGGGGGATCCCTACAGAAAAAGGAAAAAAGGGGAGAGTTAGATTTGTAGGTGACACTAAAAAAGGAGCACTTCGCTAGGTAGGAGAACCATGTGAAAGCAGCCTTGTAGGCCAAGCAAGTGGAATTTTGAGGAGGAGTGGCTGGTCAGTGTCAAAAGCAGCAGAAAGGTCTATTAGCAAGAGTAAGGAGTGGTGGCTGTTGTTTTCTAGCAGTTAGTAAATCATTAGTGAGTTTTAGGAGGGCGGTTTCAATGGAGTGTACGGGGCAAAAGCCAAGGGGTCCAGAAGGTTATTAGCGAGGCTGCGACTCAGACGGTTGTAGATAAAAGGTGTTCTAGTATGGAGGTGAATGAGAGCAAGGAGATGGGTCTGAGATTATTGAGGTTGGTAGGGTCCAGTGAGGGTTTGGGTATTGGGTTGACCAGCCCAGGTTTTAGAGGGGAAGGAGAGATGCCAGTAGAGTGAGAGATTGAGAAATGTGAGTAAGTGTAGGATAGTGCAAGAGGGTGACCAAAGCAGGTGAGGAAACAGGGTTCAGGGGGCAAGTGGTGAGTTGTGCATCAGAAGCTTTGTAACCTCTTTTGTGGTGACAGTCAAAAGAGGAAGTATCAAGTGTGATGGTGGGTCTGGTACATTAATAGGCGAAGGCAACTAGATAGTGGTGATCTTATCCCAAATTGTATCCATTTTGGTTTTTTAAATGAATGGCAATGTCCTGGGCAGTGAGTGAGTTAGTGGGTTGTGGTGGGGGACATAGTGAAGGCTTGAAAAGGTATAAAAGAGTTGACAAGGTTTGGATGAGTTAAGGAGTGACAAAATAAGGTCTGTTTGGCAGCACAGAGTGAGGAATTATATTTTAGTAGGGCAGCTTTATACAGGGTGAAGTCTTGCAGAGACCAAGTTTTCCGCCACAGTTGCTCAAGAGTGTGGCTATGTCTTGTTTGATGTCTGGTTACTTCAGTTTGTCACTGTCGTAGCGGACGTGGTCCAAGTCTGCGTGTAGTGAGGGGAGCCAAGGTGTCTAGTGAGGATGAGCGTGAGCCGTTAGACAGAAGTAGCAAAGTCAGGGCTGGACAGGGGGGAGATTTTTTCAGAGAGGTAGTCAGTAGCAGTGACGCGACACTCGGCGAGGTAAGTAAGAAGAAAAAAAAAAATTTAACCCATTCATGTTCGCAAATCGCATGTGCAGGCGAACCTATCTGACCTGGAACAGCTGATCGGTCCTGAAATGTCACTTCCATCCACCTTTGCGAGTGCGGTGGAATGCAAGATCGCAGTCAGAGAGAAGTGACATTTTCAGGACCGATCAGCTGTTCGAGGCAGATCAGTTCTCCTGCACCTGCAATTTGCGATGCCGATCTGCCCTGGAGCAGCTGGGAAAGCACTGGAATTGTTCACCTATTGGCGGTCACACATTCCACAACCGAAAAACTGGGCGGGATTATGTTTAAACGTGTGACCACGTCACCTGTCACATATTCTAACTAGGGATGTCCCGATAAACATCGGTATCGGGACCGATACAGGGCATTTTGACAAGTAATTGTACTTGTCAAAATGCCCCGATACAAAGCGCCGAAGCTTGCGCTATGTTTTTTTTTCTCTACTTGTCACGTCACTGCTGCTCCGGTTGGCTGCCCTCCAAGTGGGGTCCTAATTTAGGTGGCCGGTCCTCTGGGCAGTCGTCGGCCACCTAAGTTAGGACCCCACCTGAAGCGCCACCCACCGGAGCAGCAGTGACATGACGCTCCTCTACGGCTCAGCGACGACGACCTCAAGTGTGAGGAAAATCGTTCAACACATCGTTCGGCACCACGATCGAGGCAACATTAAGTAAGACGGGGCATGGGCTTAGTGTTGTGTGAAGAACAAGAATTTATTGCTGCAGTGCATCCTATATGTACTGTACATGTACTACATATAGCATACATATTTACAATTCTCCCCTGCTAATATGAAGGGGTTAAATGATCCATAAGTACATAACATGTGGTTGTACTACAGATCATTTAACCCATTCATATTAGCAGAGGATAATTGTAACCATTACTGCAGTGTACTGTATATACTATGGATCATGATTTAACCTATTCATGTTAGCAGGGCAGAATTGGGAGCAGCGATCCTGCCCCGCGCCTGAGGGAAGCTGGGACGGGGCTGGCTGCAAAATCTATTTCTATAGTGTACTGGACGTGTGTAATGTATATGTAGTACATATATACAGCACACACATCCACTACACCAATAGATTTACAATTCTCCCCTGCTAACATGAATAGGTTAAATCATGATCCATAGTACATATCAGAGTCGTACTATGGATCATTTAAAGCCACCTGTCCCTTAAAAAAAAAAAATATTGGTAATTGGTATCGGCAAGTACATGAGGGGGAAGTGCTTGGTCTTGAAAAAGTGCTATCGGGACACGCCTAATTCTAACATAGTCACAACCTTTGATAGAACACTGCCATCAGGGGGGTATGGCCCGGTACCCATGTGAGGGGGTCTGGGCAGCCTGGGAGGCCCCTTGTGGGTATCGGCTGTACCAGGGGTGGCATGGCATAGGTGATGGGAGGGGGTGAGGAGGCCGGGCCCCAGCAGCAGGTAAGAGGAGTTGGGAGGAGGTACAGGGAAAGGGACCCCGACATCCAGACTAGCCCACCTTGGACCCTGCAGAGCCCACCATAGTCTCAGGTGGGCTATGCAGGATCTATGGTGTGCTCTGCAGGGTCTCTGGTAAGTCCAGCAAGCTACTGCAACATTAGAGAATGCCGGGTGGGGGGTCAGTGTGATCTGCTCCCGCGCCCCCCGTCTTGGGAGGGGGGCCCCAAAATAAAATCTTGCACCAGGGCCCTTTGGTTATTAGGTCCGCCACTGCTGAGAGATTATGTACTGAAGGCAGAGACAGCCTTTTTAAAAAAGGTATCAACAATGGCAGCCTACATAGTAAACAGTTTCCTTTAAAGCATAATCCAGAAATGGTCATTTTAAGGTTACGCTTACCCAATAGTAGCTTTGAACTGGTGTAACAAAATAAGGTGAATTCATGCAACCAAAGAGCTCAACCGCGGTGTTTAATAGTACACACTAAGCGAGAGGGGAGAAAAAAGAAAAAACAATCAGCATTTTTTGTTAACCATCATACATAGCACATACCTAGGAGTATACAGTACTAAAAGAAAAGGTTATTCACTCACTATCCATACAGATATCCAACATCTATCTTCAGTCTCCATATCACTCATCTGAACCAATAAGCATTATGTTATAGCTACCCAAACTGAGGGCAAGGGGAAAGAGTAACTTTGTTTAGCAGTTTTTATGTCATGTTGGGTTCTATTTACTGTTCATCATTCCTGCCACCTTTAGGAGGAATTTGATATACATTTTTATATTTACACACCGAGGCCATGGCCATATTTGGGTCAATATGTCAGACAACATCCCTTGCCTCCGTTTATATTCTGCTGGGCTTTATTTCAACCAGCAGCTGGATGAGACTGAAGTGATGAATTGGTTGTTTGAACACTGGGAACCCAGTGTCATTGCAAACATTAAACCAGGAGCTAGATGATCAGTCATTAATGCTGCCCCACTCGAGCACTGGTTTCTCTATACACCAGATCAGAGTCGGTGTTAATAAATCTGTCATAGCGACTTTTTCGACATTTACCTGAATCTGTTAAGATAAAAGCTAGCATCAGGCCTTCTATGAATTTGGCACAAGACCTTTTGAAAGTTCCACACCAGAAAAGTGGCTCAAAGTAAGTGTCTAAACACAGTATGTTCCAAATCTACAGACTCTTTGCACTACTAGTCAAAATGACCAGTTAAGGAAGAATGGCGTCCAAGGCCAGGTAGCAGTTGAGCTTTACACCACAACCTCCATTCCACACACCCCACCAGCTCATCAATTGACATTGATGAGAAATTAAATGGGCACAGAGATGCTGCTGCATCTACATCTGCAGGGAGTATGAAGGCTGTAGATGGGTCCTCTGGACACCAACAGGGCCCCTAGACTCCTGCCTAGGTGCCTTGTGAAGGATCTAGCACTGGTGAACATTACAATTGTCCTCCTTCAGCTCTCCCCTACAAAGCAGCTATTTGAATTACAAACCTGGTTTATAACACTCAGGCTAGGGAGTGGCAGTATAGGATTGATTTCAGATACTCTAGCGGGCATTACATAAAGCTTACTAGAGAGATCATCCATCTAGTCATTACTTATTACATACATTATAACAAGTAAAAGGTCAGTCAGAACTGTTGGCTACTTGATAAACCCAACTAAAGCAGAATACTGTAGTACATAAAAACCATCACCCACAAGCCCCACTGGTACTGGTAGTTGACCAGCCTGACAAACCTGCTTTGTGTTATTGAACCTATACAGAAACATTACTGGAATTGATTAGTTGGTATGGGCCACTGCTACCTTTTACATCATGCACTAAGATAACAAAACACATTCAAGATATTAAGAAAAAAATAATTTACTACTACGATACCTTTAAAAGCTTGTTGGAGGACAAACCCCTTCCAAGTGATTTAAACATTTTCCTTAAACTGTTCATGTCTTGGGAAAAAAAAAAAGTTACATCAGTATAGGAATTTCTATAAACATAGAGATGGCATGTAAGCCATGTGTTTGAAGGAACCCTATAATGAGAAAGACTTTGTTTGCTGATCTTTACTCTGGAAATGCTATTTTCCTGGTAGTATCTGGCATTAATTCTTTAAGTGACTGTCCCAAATATGTATACTTGCTCCAGAGCAGTGACAAAGTGTTGAAGCCATTAGATCAGTGTAACACTTAAACCAACCAGTACTTGTAGTAGAGGTCAGCAGGAATCCACATATGCATTGTATGACAGGTTCCATTCAGGGTTAATCTATACAGGTAATTTTAAGCTCTTGCTGCTGAGATTTAACCCCTTGCTAGCAACCACTAGCTAGGATGTTTGTAGGAACGCACTCATGTAACACAAATCCCTATCAAGCAATCACTAGGAAAAGGAAAGGGTAGCTCAACAAAAGTAACAAATGGCCTTCTAAGGAAGAGATAAAGCTCAAGTAATCACAGAATGTTCCAATGATGTGCAACTGGTAACAAAATCCTACTTTCTCCATAGAGAACATCTCATTCCATATTGTCTGACATGATTAAAATTGCCCATGTATTTCTAGACAACCAGTTATAACCCCAATTGCACACCACTTTCCCCACTCACCATAAAAGTTCTGACTCTTTATCTCATGAAACAACCCCTTGTACTTGTCTTTTATATATGGAAAGGTGCTGGATCCCAGAGCTTCATACAGGTGCCCTGTGTTCTCCTAATGAGCATAAGAGGGAGGATGGACAAACAAATACACCTGGCCAGAGGCACCGTGTATTGAGCTGCAATCCTACTTTTGACCACAGGAGGGTGAGATTTATTACTACAATGTGCTGTCCCTCTAGGGCTTATTTACACTTGTCTGCTTTTGGCAGATACGTTTTGCATTGACATCAATGGAAAATGGCAAAAACAAACAAATGTGAATAGGCCCTTACAGTGAGGGTTGGATACATTTCTTGCCTGAAGTCATCTGAATTATGAATGTCAGAAAAGCAGATCTATGCTGGCCACACCTGTTTAAACAAAAGTTGATTGAAAAAAATTACTTTTGTCAAATTGAGGGGTGCCAATGGGGCAGTGTATAGCCAGATTTACTACCAATCCCAACAGAAAGTTGCATGCTGTTTTTAATAGTTTTTAAGCACTCGCAACTGACTTCTGCTATGAGATGATACTGCCACGATCATTTCCATTAAGGTGCTCATACACTGGTCGAATTCCGGTCCAAGTATTAATGTACCGACCAAAATTCGCACTGTGTGTGGGGCTGTCGGCTCTCTTTCAGCCGGCATTCTTCGATCAGCTCATCGAAGGAGCCTGCTGGAAAATCTTTATGCGATCAGAGCTGGCAGCAATGAGCTGCCCACTCTGATTGGGTATTCTGTTTGTGTTGATGGAGGAATCGCTCCAATTTCTTTAGTTCAGCCCGTGGGTTGAAGGAAAAAAATTGACAGGTGTATGGCCAGCCTTAGGCAAACTATTTTTATGGCACATAGCTCTCAGTACTGTAAGAGTTTAGTATGGGATACTTTTGTTCCCAATAAGATAAGTATTTTTGCAGTTAAGATATTGTTAGGTTACGGTAAGGGGTAGGGATTAAGTTAAAGTAAACTTGTGGGTCCTGTCATTGCTGTACTTCTTCAGAAAATACCAGTGCCCTGGCTGTTATTCAGGATACAGTCTGTGGAACCATCGCACTCAGAGCCGCTGCTCCAAAAATGGAGGGTGGGTGTAGCACATGTCAGCGGGTGGCTTCCGACAAAATATCAGTAAAGGATGGACACCGGCACTCCAAAGCAAGTTCAGTACGTGTTTATTAATGTACTAGTTGCAAGTAGAACACTCTAAGCAACGTTTTGGTGTCTCACAGGTCGTTGTTTAGAGTGTTCTACTTGTAACTAGTATGTTAATAAACACATACTGAACTTGCTATGGAGTGCCAATAGAAAGCTAGTTACCATGCCTTACATGCAGTTTTTTAGGCTCTCCCATTTAAGTCCATTGGGGCCAAAACGTGCGACTCTCCCTCAAAGAAGCTCATGTTTTTTTTTTCGAGCTACAAGGTTCTGGAAACACTATTTGTAGGTGTAAAAAGGCACCAATAAATAGAATGGAAAATTCTAGTGAGCCCTGGTGAGAATCCACACAGCCCTGGTGAGACCTCGCACAGCCCTGGTGAGACTGCATGCAGCCCTGGTGAGAATCCATGCAGCCCTGGTGAGACCTCGCACAGCCCATTTGAGACCCTGCATAGCCCTCCTGAGTCTCTGGAAACATCAGGCCGCCACCCCGGAACAATGCAGAGTATGTAGCTTCAAAATATTCTGCATTGCTGTATAATGTATTGCTGGGATTTGTAGTCCTCTATAGCTGGTGGCATTCTGCATTGCTGTATAATGTATTGCTGCATGGCGGACCTCCGTGGTGGATCAGTGTCATTATACATGCTTCTGTGCTCTCTTCTTTTGGTGCGGCAGCGCCCCTCCTGATCCACCAAGGAGGCTTGAAATTACCGTGGGGAAAATGGAAGCGAGCCCAGAAGCGGCTCCTAAATTTAAAAAAAGCAGCACTGGAGAATGATGCAATTTAACCTCTTGCCGTCCGCCCGTAGTAAAAAAACGGACGGACGGCACTGCAGCATCTGCGACATCCCCTACAGCTTACCTCATGATAGGACTCCCGTTCCTGATACCGTGGGCGGTGCAGGGGGGCGGACCAAATGTGCTTGAAGTCACCGGTTCTACCTGCTGCTGATCAGCACAGCCCAGGCGACCAGAAGGCACTCTGATAGGTATGCCCAGCGCATGGTCCTGCCCACTAGTCATGGTAACAAGCTAATTGACAGGCTCCTGTCCTCCTTCTTTGCAGAGGAGCCCAGGTCCCTGTAGGGAAGGAGAAATAGGAGCCTGCCAATCAACTGGTTACCATGGCAAATGGACCATCCTCCTTCACTACAGGCAGGGTTCAGGGCCCCCACTGGTGACTTTATGGGGCCTGGCCAGTACAAGGGGACTGTCTGTACCATCTTGTTGGCAGTCCTGGTCATGGGCCCCCTCCTGGCTGCGGGCTCATTTAAAGGTCCACTTATTTATGTGTTTATTATTGGTATTTATATAGTGCGGACAATTTGTTTAGCGCTTTACGTAGTGCACATTCACATCAGTCCCTGCCCTCAAGGAGCTTACAATCTAAATATGTATGGTGCATTTAGAAAAAAAAAGATCCAAAAGCACTGTAGGAAAGATTATTTTTTTTGGAAGGTATAAATATTTAAAAGGGATGTTGGCTAAAGGAGAACTATTGGTAGAGTAAAATGTACTCTTCCCAACAGTTTGAGCCGGTGTGTGACACTCTATAGCTCCAGAACCGAGCAATCACAAACCACTGATCACTCAGCTCACGGCTTCTTCCTCTAGAGAGCAATAACTGTCAGTCATCACTCCCCACAGGGATTCCCCCCTCTCTCTATTCCTCCAGCGCTAACTGGAGGGACAGACAGGGAAGGGGGTGGTGCAGTAACTGGCTCTGGCTCTACAGAGGCTGTCAATCAATCAGCGGTGTGGATCCTAAAGGTCCCAACACACCTTACGATAATCGTACGATAATCGCGGGAAATCCCGCGATCGTACGATTATCGTAAGGTGTGTGGAAGCCGTGCGACCTCTACTACTGTAAGGTCGCACGACTTTTAACTTACGGGCATGTTCGAAAACCTGCTGAGCATCGTACGATGTTCGGCGGGTTTGTGGCATGTTCGTACGATAAAACACGTACGGGCCGGTGTGCGCAAGCGCACACTGCCCGTTCGGCATTGCGGTCATCGGAAGCCCGCCCCTCAGGGGGCGTGGCTTGCGATCATCGCAAGTACGATCTGCCTATGCAAGATAGGCAGATCGTAAGTTTTTTTAAGTACCTTACAACCATCGCAAGACAAAAGTCTTGCGATGGTTGTAAGGTGTGTGCCCAGCCTAACAATATTGTCTGGATCTTTCCCAGCTGCAGTGAGGCAGGAATCTTGGGCTGTCCCCAAGTGATCCTACATGCAGTTTGGGATAGATGATTGTTCCTGAATGCTATCTGCCTGCATCCGGGGACATTCATCTATCCCGAACCGCATGCACAATTACTTGGGGACAGCCACAGACAGATACGGCCGCTGTCACCCTGTCGTTAACTTGAATGGGCACAGCGGCCACATCTGTAGGGACATACCTGGGACTCCTGGTGCAAAAATCTTCAGGTTCTTGGCACAGGATTCCCCAGCCAAAGCCTAAAGCACTTATGTGGATGGGGCCTATGTATCCTGGGAACATTGTCACCAGGACTGAAAGTGAGGTAAAGTCCAACATTTGGAGTTGTCAGAAAAACAGCTATAGAGTCAAAATCCTAATAAAGTAGAAATCTTTAGATTTTGACTTTTTTGGTAAAAGAAAATGCATTTGTATTGCTTTAGGCAGCTGTTTTGCCCATACAAAGGCATGCTGGTGGATAATAAACGGACGTGAGCTTTTTATGGGCCATGCATGTCAGTTCATTGTATATATAGGCGGTAACACTATTAAGAACAATAGGAAACCTCTTCACATACAATAAGCGTATTAAAACGCAATCACATGAATAAGCCCTAAAATTCAAGGACATTCTAAAGGCCACTTTCAGTATTTTATCACATTCTAATGCAATATTTCTGTATAGTAAATACTCCAAAACAAACACAAGGACTAAACATAAATTTCCAGCTCCTGACATCACATTTCCCAGAGAAGATGCAATTACTACTCCCGCCAGCAGGTGTCACTGTGAAGCTAGTAGAGGGAGACAATAGAGATGATTGTAATGTTCAATATACTTCCGGGGAACCAGAACTTCCAAGGAGAGCAATGTTATGCTACAGTGCTGCTGTGTGATATACCCGACATCTACTCTTTGTATGTATATACAGGCCGTGTTCTCCTCTCATTATATCTATATACAGGCTGTGTCATCCTCTCATTATATGTAAATACAAACTGTCCTCCTCTCATTATATCTATATACAGGCTGTGTGAGAACAACTGCACTGTGTATTGTATACACGTAGGTCACGTTGCAGGGAGAGGGACAGGCTGCAGACTTGGAGCTACTAATTTAGACTTTGGGTTATTATTTTATGTGAAAGACATTCACATCAGGCTCTGCCTCTTAGGGGCAGTTTGGTTAGAAGATCATTTATTATTATTATACAGGATTTATATAGCGCCAACGGTTTGCGCAGCGCTTTATAATATAAGGAAGACATTACGATCACAATACAATTCAAGACAAGATGGTAAGGCGGGCCCTGCCCGTGACGGCTTACAATCTAAGAAATGTAAACATAAGAACATTCAGATAACGTCATGGTAATAATTAAACACTCCAGACTCCATTGCTGCAAGGACACACTGCTATTGAAAAATCCTCTGTACTGCACTTTCAAGGGCCCTCTGTATTTGACGGCAATAAAAACCATTCAGTCCATTGGCGCCTGTTAAAGTAGACCTATAACTATTTAAATAAATTACAAGCAGGAAGTTTTTTTTTTTTTATTATTATTGCAGAAGAGACAGAAGGGCTGTACGGGGTCTCACCATGGCTGGGCAGTCTCACCAGGGCTGCTTGTGGGTCTCACCAGGTCTGCATGGGCGGGTGCATGTCTCCCCAGTACTGTGCCAGGTCTTACCATGGCTATGTGGGCATGAGGTGGGTCTCGCCATGGCTCCGTGGGTGGGTGCAGATGGCGGGTCATGTCAAGGCTGTGGGGGCGGCAGGAAGGAGGAGGAGATGTGCGGCTGGTGTTTAAAAATTTAAAGCACTGGTATTAGCGTTTAGTATCGGGGCATTTTCACGAGTACTCGTGAAAATGCCCAGTTTCGGCACTGATACTGGTATTGGGGCATCTCTAACATCGACTGTCAATATGTTAAAGTCAAGGTCTGTGCATTGCAGGGTGCTGTGGCAATAAAAAAGAGCATTGGGGGCACCATAAAGTGCATTGCAGCACATGAGTTATCACAATGCAGTGTGAACAGACTCTTAATGCACAACACGTACTTACAGTGACAGCCACTAACCGTAATACCATGATTCCTCTGTGATAGGAGATCAACTCTCTCTTTTTCAAAAGGGCATCTAAAGCAGTGCTCCCCAACCTTTTTATCGCCGCGGACCGGGGGTTGGGGACCACTGATCTAAAGCATGAAGAATACATCCTCTATGTGGAAACAATGACACCAAAGTACTCAGGAGATGGGCAATGTTTCCTGGTTGTGAAAACTGTTTTTTTCTATGAAATATATAAGCAATGCCCAGAAATAAATAAAAAAACACTACAAATGAGAGTTTTTCAAATGCTTGTAAGCACCATGTTATCCCTTTGTTGACAATGGTCTTGCCTGTAACAAATCTACGGGTTGCAGCAAAAGGGTTACCATCATGCTCAAGAGCTCTAGACCTTGCTTCAACATTGTAACACGATTTGTTTCTTTTTTCTTGTATTACTAGATCACAATTTAGCCGGTAAAATGTCTTCATCTCCCTCGGAGCCTTCAGACATTAAAAGTGATGCACCTAAAGAGAAGGATTATCGGACCCCTGGATTCAGGGGAATAAAGACGACCAGTCTGTTCCGAGCTGTCAACCCTGAGCTCTTCATCAAACCAGTAAGGGCAGAAGATGAGTATTACATTATGTGCAGTTCTTTTTTCATGACAAAGCAGTCAGAATTATTCCAGAGGTGGAAACCTTTTTGTTGGGTGACTTGGGCTAAGTAGGTAGAGGCATTCTCCTCAGACAACTACACAGTCAGCTGAGCAGCTAAGGTGCCAGATGGCCTTGGATCCGTTCAGATGTTTCCAGTGTAAAACAGAAAGCTCGAATCTCTGGAAATCCTCACAACTGTTTGAAAACTGGTCTCCCAAAGTTAATTTGTGGTAATGGGAGGAACGCTAGAGAGATTTCGTCCTATATTGTTTTCCTGGCAGAGACTTCACATGTTGCCAAACAAGCAGCTGAAATTTCCCCTGTCCAGTGGCATCTGTCCCTGAGTTGCTTCGTGAAGATCTTCTCTCAGAGTGGACTTTTTTTACGTGTCAGGATATGATTACATGTGCAGATCTTTGATTATCCATTTCCAGCTTCCAGTCAGAAGCTGATGGCATGCACACTGTATTACTTATCCTCACAGATGAGAGATGAAAGACTGTGCACCTACTAAGAAGAAGAAGTGAAATCTACTGATAACCCATTGCTACAAATTATCCCATGGCTTTGTTTACATTAAGCCCAGAAGCTGATAGCTGTTCATAGAAATGTAATCTGCTTATATTTTGTCTTTCCTAGTACCGCCCACCCCCCTTCATCAAAATGCAATGGTATTTTTTTTTTAAACCTATCCATTTCAATGACATAACTCATTTTAGACTCAGTGATGTCATAACTGGGTCTCTGTACTTATTTACGCAATTCAGGACGATCATGGCTAGTGGAAGGGGCTTACATAGCTTCCTCAAAACAGAAGACCACTCTAGGTAATACCCACATGGTATGCTGAACCTCCCTGATTGAAAGAATTGAATGAAAGATGATGCTGGACATCCTCAAGCCAGGAAATAAGGCTGACGTTTTCTGACTTGCTGCAGCTTCTAATGTACACTGTGAGACACTTCAGTCTTCTACATGTGTGCAAGTCTTAAGTAAAGGCTGGAGTTTTACTATCATTTACAATAGCTACCTCTGTAACATGTAACTTGGTAGATGTCGTACCCTGCTGCTGTCAGCGTGCATAGAGCTAGGATGTACCTAAAGGCTGCTCTCTAACCACTGCAATCTGCAGGTGGATGCATTTTATTAATAGCATTCATTTTTATTTCTTTTACAGAACAAGCCAATAATGGCGTTTGGACTATTTACAATAACAATGTGTGTTGCCTATATTGCTTATTTACAAGCAACAGAGGAAAATAAAAAGGACTTGTATGAAGCAATTGACAGTGAAGGAAACAGGTACACAAGAAGGAAAAACTCCAGATGGGATTGAAATGTGAATGCTGATGAACTATGATCAAATGACTGCAACAGGAACAAATCAAATATACATGAAAAATACCAAAAATTAAACTGAATTATGGAGAGAAGATTGTCCGAGAGTGAGAATTTGTTAGGACAACACTGGGGAACTCTCTTCCTGTTTGTAAGCAGAGGTATTACTATGAATGAACTCGAAACTGTATGAATGTGAAAGAAATTAGTTTTTTCTCGAAGGCATTTAATTCTATTTTCGGTCATGCTGCCAAAATGCTAAGGTCATAAAAACCTCTCAAATCGGATTTGTTTTTTATCCTTTGTAGAATTTACCGTGAAGTTGTATATTTATCAATGAGTACTTTATGGCAATGATGTCAATTGCAGTTAGTTATATATTATTATTATAATACAGGAAACAGTTTGTACTTGGGCCGCAACAACTAATCGACTAAGTCGATTATAATCGATGAGAGGAAACGTCAACGTTGACTTTCGATTAGTTGACCTGCTCGCAGCAGGCCGCAACGCCGAACGCCACTTCTCGCCGCTTCTCCCCACCTCACGGACTCGCCACACGCTGCTTCTCCTCCGCCCATTACGGACTCGCCGCTGCCCACCCATGTAGGTTCGGCATTATAAAGCAAGGAGGTGCAGGTGTGGGGGGGAGGCGGCAGCTGCTGGCAGACAGGCCCATGATCTCAGGGAGACTGCTCAGGTAAGCCTGCACTTTCCTCCCACTTAGTGCTGTATTAATGTATTGCTGGGATAGTGGGATTTGTATTCCTCTATAGCTGATGGTACATTGTACTGTATATTATACAGAGCAATGTACTATCAACTATAGAGGAATACAAATCCCAGCAATACAGTATACACTGTATGTATACTATATTGCTGGGATTTGTTGTATTCCTCTATAGCTGGTGTTATTCTGCATTGCGCTGTATAATGTATTATTGCTGGAATTTGTAGTCCTCTATAGCTGGGGGTATTCTCCATTGCGCTGTATAATGTACTATTGCTGGGATTTGCTGTATTCCTCTATAGCTGGTGTTATTCTGCATTGCGCTGTATAATGTATTATTGCTGGGATTTGTAGTCCTCTATAGCTGGTGGTATTCTGCAGTGCACCGCTGTATGATGTACTATTGCTGGCATTATACAGCGCAATGCAGAATGCCACCAGCTATAGAGGACTACAACAAATCCCAGCAATAGTACATTATACAGCGCAATGGAGAATACCCCCAGCTATAGAGGAATACAGCAAATCCCAGCAATAGTACATTATACAGCGCAATGGAGAATACCCCCAGCTATAGAGGAATACAACAAATCCCAGCAATAATACATTATACAGTGCAATGGAGAATACCTCCAGCTATAGAGGAATACAACAAACCCCCGCAATAATACATTATACAGTGCAATGGAGAATACCCCCAGCTATAGAGGAATAAAACAAACCCTAGCAATAGTACATTATACAGCGCAATGCAGAATACCACCAGCTATAGAGGAATACAACAAACCCCAGCAATAGTACATTATACAGCGCAATGGAGAATACCCCCAGCTATAGAGGAATACCACAAATCCCGTATGCAATATGAATTTACCATTTACACTTTTAATAATATAGCATCTCATTTCATTTTTGAGAATTTTACATTCATTTTACATGCAGAAGTTAAAGGAGATCTATAAGGTGAGTGATTTCCACTCATCCTCATAGTTAGAGCCGACCTGTGACAAAGAAGCTGTCACAGGTCGGCTCTATCTATCGGGAAGTGAGCAGAAACATGCAGCCGATCCGTTCACTTTCCGATCGTCTCCCTGCAGTGAGCGGTGACTGTCAGTCACCGCTCCCTGCAGGGATTCCCCCCGCCACTCTCCGCTCCTCCAGCGTTGAATGAAAAGGGGAGGGGGTGTGCACAGCTGGCTCTGCCTCTAGACAGACAGAGTCAGCTGTCAAACAGCTGGGTGGATCCAGACAGTATGGTCGGGATCCATCCCGGCTGTGGCGCTCTCAGTATATAGCGGGCAATAGCTCGCTATATACTGAGCTTTGGGTCACGGGAGGAGGTTAGAATATGTCCTCCTGTGATCCTAGAGAGAACTATGGGGAAAAACACTTACCCCCATAGTTCTCTTTTAAGTCACTTTGTAAAACAAAATGCTGAAAGGTTTTTATGACAGACAAAGCCATGAATGTCTTTTTTCCCATAATTGCTTGTTCCTGCCTGTCAGTGTTTGTGCACACTGATCCATGAATGCACCTGCACGAGGGTTACATCATCCCAGCCTGGACAATCAAGAGACCAAAGACGCCAAACCCAGGAGACGATGGGAGCACCCTTGACAGAGGGTAATACTGACATCCAAGCTCTGGAAGGGTCGCCTGCAAGGTAAGTGCTAATAGGCTGTGCATACTAGCACATTATGGCAAACATCTCCTGGGGGACAAACATTTGTATTTTGTAGTAGCAATTTACTATTGGTTTAAGTCATACATATCATTTTAGGTTTTTGCATACTGTATTGATAGTACTCAGATTTATGCTGATAGCTTTGTGCCAGATATAATGGCATTCCTAACAGTGCCCCCTAAATACTCTGAAAAAATATATATTTTACATATTAAACAACTAAAGAGTATATACATTTCCAGCAACAAACTCTCTCATGTGCCCAAAATGTAAATTACTATTGGAAATCCTCCATCCGGATCATAGTCTTGTTTCAGGATAAGTTGTAGCATTGATGCATAATAGAATATGGACTCTACTGGATGGCAAGATTTGCTTACTAGGAATGGCTGCCACTGCATCTAGATACATAGAGTTAGGACAACATGTCCATAAAAGTCATTGTATCAAGAACATAAGTAAATTAAGAGACATGGAACGCCTCCTGCCATACATACTGTAGCATACTGGGACAGGAACGTCACTATTAAACTTCCTGTAAAGAAACGCGTACCTGCATGGAGCACATCCATAGAAGTGGGGTAAATGGATTCACTTCTTACTTGAGGATTCAGATTCACGGATATGAGGTAATACTATTAGATGCATTTATTAGCATTTCCTAAACCCAAGTTTAATGCATGCTTCACCTTTGCAACCATGCTTCATGGTACACCCATATTTAGGGCTTAACTTGAAACATGGTTGCTTTCCCCAACTTCCCACCCTCAAACACACCCCTCCCCCACTTTCCCAAATCGTGGGGTGCTTCAACCTAAAGCGTCTTGTAGTTTTTCTAGTTTAGCACACAACACTGGCACAGCTGTGTCATCCATTCACAAGAATCTGTGAGCAGGAAGACTATCAGGGTTATTCACAAAAGGGTGAAGAGTTTGGAGAAGTGACCAATCTAGGCCAACATTGCTGATTTGGAAAAATTCTCCAGTTCAGCTCACTTTCCAGTTCAGCTATGTTGTCCTAGCTTGTTCACTTTTCCTGCCTTCTCCAAACTCTTCACCCTTTAGTGACTAGCCCTGCATGAGTCCCATCTACCAGCATGCCCGAGAGACACACAGTTCACACCAGGTAGTGACATCGCCGCATTTGCTGTAGTCTGTTGTTTACTTTCTCCATGCAATCTCCATTCTACATGGAATATATGTCATTCAAAATACCTAAATTAACATTTACGATTCAGCATCAGTTGCAGCTTCTATTTATTATGATCAAAAAGGGCGTTCCATTGAAAGCAACAAGAGACCGCTTTTTACATGTTTCACACAAACGTGTGCTTAGTCATAGAGGATCATCAATACACTCAGTCCAGATATTTATGAGTGAACACTCTTCGCCCCCCTCCAAGTGTCACTCCACTAGCAGCTGACTTCTTTGGAGATGATATCAGCCCATTCGTTCATTTATGTCTACGGATCAACAAATGCTGACATCTCTATCTGAAGACAAAATACAAACAAAGTAAAACAAGTTTTAAAGAAACTAACACATAAATAAATCATAAACAGAATACCATAAGTCAATCAAAAACAGAACCACTATTTAACAGAAGAATGTAAAATGGGGCATCCCATAGGAGGCCCACTTTCATGGGACTGTGGCAACTTATATTTGTTTCTTGGGCTGTTTTCTGTTTATTTTATATTTCAGTGCTGCCGGCCCTTTAAATCGCCTTAGGTAGTGAGTAGAGAGATTTAGGCGGGAAAAGCGACATCCTCGAGGATTTCTGGAACCTTCTACAGCACCCTTCCTCACCCTATATAAAGGGGGGTTTTCCTTGTATGCAGCGCCAGTTGTCCGGATCGCAGCTCAGCACGCCCCCTCCCTAGTCGTGGCTTTTTATGTGGTTTGCACCTCAAGGCCTCATTCACACACAACGCAAGCAAAATTGTATATTGCGTATATACGTGTCTATGCGCGTATATACATGTGTATATGCGCGTATTTACGAGCATATATGCGTACATGTGTGCCCTATATGCAATCCCAGAATGCATCACTCGTAATGGAATTTTTAATGTGCTGTACGCATGTACGCACGTTTACGCGCGTAAACACACGTATATGCACGTAAATACGCTGCCCGGACGCATCTCTGTTCCATTCTGTTTTTGCGCATATATACGCTACGCAAATATACGGCTCTATACGCGGCTGTGTGTATGGAGCCATTTATTTGCATAGGTTGCATATGGTACAATACTCGCGCATACGCGCGGCAGTGTGGATGAGGCCCAAGTGTTGAGGGGGACTAATTTACATTTAAGTGATTGACTTTGCTTGAGTTGCAATGACTGGTTGGTTTCAAGTGTTACTAAATGGTTTATTTAATTGATGGTTAATAAAGTTTATTTATATTTATGTGACACCAATAAAAATGCAGCGGCCATTCATTTGCCAATATTCGCTTGTGCGTCTCTTTTTTATGTAATGTTTATTAATGAATGTTGCTTACAATCCCATGCCTATATATCTTATTATTTAAATGGACCCGTCTATCATACACGATCTTATCTGACCTTTTTTAAGATCACCGCATC